CCCACCCTAGCACAGCTACTCTACAGCTGTCTTTCTAATAGTTGATTCTGGTATTTGTTTGGTGCCACTTTGCTTCGAATAGTTGAAAATCGGTATGGAGTGAGGAGGAATGGAAAAGGTGATGGGTAGGATAGAAAAAGAAGAAATTTTCTGAGACGTTGGCCCTAATAAGGACTCGAAGACCTCTTCCTTACCGGGCAAGTGAGCTTAGCACTGCATTACCAGGATAACGTTTTCGCCCTCCCAGCTTATCGTTAGCTCGAGGAAAGCATGAAAGTCATGTCTTTTGCTTGAAACCCAGCATTCTTTCAAAAACCTTCAGGTTGCCGGTTAAACAGCAATCATCAGCTGTTGTGACGGTGATTTTTGACACGATTTCCAGATTACCGTTTTCCACAGAAAAGCTGTGTAAATCATCCTGCTTTCATTGATCAGTGTTTAACAGCACCACAATTGTGTGTACCCACAAGGAGCTTTGCACTTATTCGTACAATATGCTCTCTACCTTTCTTGGGAGGCCACCTCTGGACGATGAGTAGAAAAATGCGAGCTCTCAAGCGAGATTAGTACTGTTAAAGGTTCACGAAAGTGGTGGAGAGCGAAAACTAGACGACGAAGAGAAACCGCTGTTGGTGCAGCTCACCTGGCATCGTGATGATCGTGAGGGGCGATTTCTGTTGCGGAAAAATCGTCAAGGAATGGCTCCATTAGCAGTTAGTTTGATATTTCATGTCATTGTTTTGACTTGGCGACTTCTATTTAACCATGGAATATTTAGACAATACAGCTACCAGAAGAGGAGAATATGAAGCGTGGTACGAAACGGTTTTCGAAGCGAGAAAAGAAAGAAATGAAGAAAAAACATCAGAAGGACATAAGTGAGCGTTTGCAGTTCGATTTTTATTGGTCATCGTTATCAAGTTCTCTCGTTTTTAGTCACTGTAAATACTGGCCGAGAAGAGGCGTTGGCACCGGTCTGCACTGACCTTTATTGTCAGGTGGGAATCATGTAGCTTTTGAATTTTTATTATTACTTAGCAAGTTTATCTTCGAAGAACAGGCTCAGTTCCACATCCACATTTCACCCATTTTTCTGCTCGCTTTCAAGTCCGAATTCGGTTTTAACTTTTCTTATTTTCTGTGTTTTTTTTACTATATAATAAACTGAATATTTTTTATAATGATGTGTGCGGTATGGCAAATTTTTGTGCATAACAGCAAATTTCGCAGGGTATGTCTCACAGCATCTCAGTGTGTTTTAGCATGGCCGCATTTGCCGAAATTCTTCTCATCTTTGTCTTCCGTGATGGTCCTGACCATCCCTTGAGGATCATCTTTTTGATTCTTACCTCTGTCCCCTTCATTTGCCCGGTGGTGTCAATGTCGAATAGGAATTCTCTGTTGTTTCAAACTCCTTTTCACACTGGCGAATAGCTATCGTCGCGTCGTTTCTCGAACCTACTCCTTATTCTCCTGATGTAATTGAAATCTGCCCATTTTTGTTTGCAGTACTTGCCCTTTTTGCCTCTACCTCAGCTGAACCCGAAACTGACGTACAGTTCGACTCGAACCACATTTCGCTCGGAAATTAAACCCGGCATGGCTTTGGCCAGAACATTGTCCGAGGGGGTGATGTGGCCCTTTGAGCACAATTATCACATTTGCGAAGCGAAGACGCCTGCCGCGCCGCAGCGCTGTAGACAAATTTTGCGAGCGGAGTAGTCCTTCTTATGGGGTCAAACTGCCCGTAGTAACAATTTTTTTGGCTAGGTATCTCGTGGTGCTGATGCCGGCATCTGTGCGGCGAGAACGACGAGTTTCGCGCAAGATAATGCAATATTCGTGTGACAAGGGGGAATCACTCTCAGAAACAATATCTAACGGAACAGGCTTAGAAGCCCTCTTATTTTTGTTAACAAGAGGAGAGCGTGATTGAGAACCAGTAGGGAATTCGCTGAAGGATTGACATGCCTTTTCCTCTTTTTTCATATATGAACCATCAAAGTGCTGCTCCCTAGTGAACTTCCTATGCATTTCTGCAAGAGAAAATCTTAAGAAACGCTGATTTATCATTCGGAAATGTAGTCATGTAATCCGTCAAAGAAAGAAAAAAGGATACGAACTCCTCTAGGGAGCAGCAATTCTCAGGAAAAAGCTCAAGAAATGTCGACTCCCGCGGGATGGTAACAAAATGGTTGCTAGTTCACCATACTCGACGTTCTACTGGGATGTGTGGTAAACTTTCCCAGTTTGTTGCATTGCAAAAGTAGGCTTCTCGTTGTCGAGTTCTTTTCGTATTGCTTTTCCCGCTGTCTGTGTATGAGCATATCTTAACTTGAAGTTTTATTCAAAATACTGGTAAACTATCGCGTTGAAATTCTAAAAGTTCTTGGGAAAGGATTTCTGAAGCAGCGTGCTTTCCATGAAACAGAGTCGTTGTTGGATTGAAAAGTTCAGTTTATATCGTGCAATCCGACAGAGTGGTGTCAGGAGGTGTGAAAAGAGCTCATCTGCGGCGTTTTCTCCCATTGGTTGTTTTTTGCTCGAACCGACCACTACTGTTGAAAAGATGCGGCCGCCGGCAGGCTCATTCCACGACTTCCGACTCTGCCGCTAGATTGTCAACAATATTTGAGCGTTAGACAGTACATTTCCGGAATGCGCCATGCTTTCTATAATAGTTTCACTCAGAATCGTAGCGGCACTTTCAATGCGATTTGGCCCTTACAGTGACTTGCGGGGGCTAGATGCAGGATGCTATATTTATTCTCCCAGAAGCTGTGGCCGCGGAGGGGTGCCCGGGCGTGGAGCTGGCTGGAGACACGTTTTAAAGGCTGCGCCACTTGCACTATAGTCACCTCTTGTCATTCGATTACCCAAGTGTGAGACAGTCCCGAGAGGCCCTATTAACTTAAAGATAAGTGTGCGATTCATTCCCCCCCCCCTTCACTCTAATCTCTCGTGATGATGATCTCATCAGGCATCTATTTAAGGGCTACGAGCTCAATCTTACCTTCTAACAGGCTATGCCTGGAAAAAGTATGGGCTGTGATGAGGAATCACTAGTGTAGAGTTTACTAGTTTACTTTAGCTGTGAAGCTCTTCACGGTATCTTATTTATTCGTTTTTTTCCTGTCTAAACAACTTTACTAAGCTGCTGTTTGTTTTCCAAGACTCACTTGTTCGAGTGCTGTGCCACCCTTTGCCATTTCCATTTTTAACGAATTTCGATCGATATGTAGTAAAAGAATTGACATTTCGCTTTCGTTCCGGTCCATTTTCCTAAATTGTTTTTCAATCTCTTATAATTCTCTAGGTTCCGCCTAATTCATTTACTCGTACTATATCGAATCCAGAAGTAGTAATGAAGAAAAGAAGGGAAAGGAAGCTGGAAACGAGATTGAAGGAAATGGGTCATGGTGAGCTCATATTTACTGTATTATTGATAGCGAATTTCGAGTACTCCTAAAATGCTTTTTTTTTCGATTTTCAAGGGTATGAGGATGAGTTTTGTCCAATGGTAGGTGAAAGCTGTTGTGTATAACTAGTTCAGTACTTCATAGGATTCGTTTGGGTTTTTTTCCTGCATGTTTTATGTTGATATCGCCCAAAGTTTCCAGGAATATCTTATTTGTGGCGAATTTAGGTGGAAGTTTGAAGATCTACGGTGGTGAGTTAGTGCCGTCACGACCATATGTGACGATACTGGTTTCGATGTATGACCGTGCTGAGAAATAGCTTGTGCCGAAGCGTTGGAAAAGTACGGTATCGATCCGATTAATGGAAATGACTACGTGTTAGTTGAGGTATGTGCCAGTGGGTGCTTTGTCGTCGTCATCATATTGTCATTGTCTCAGCGATACATCCGTCATCTATGTTTTTTCATTGCCAACGATGATCTTGCACGGTCGTTATCAGTTTCCCATCATTGTTTCGCTAGTTGCTTTTTGTGAGCGATGGACGAGTTCCGCTGCTTTGATGCGCGATGTCGACCGTCACTAAAAAGTACACGCACTAGCCATTATACTGAGGAAATGGCGATCGTATTCACTTCATTTCACGATGCAGCCGCTTTATTCTGCCCTGAAAGCCGCGTAGTCAGCGTCCTGTCCCGTAGATATATCCTTCTTCGCATCTTTCAAATTACCGAATACGTTGTTGAAAAATGTAGGAAATTATCAACAAAGGAACGTGACGGCCCTGAGAACAAAGGTGAAAGCTTTTCAAGTCCCGTCCATTTTTGTGAGTCAAAAATGTGTTGCCAGTAAACTGTGTTCAATCTTTTTAGATGCCGGTCTCGGAACAAACCAGTCATAGTTTCAATGATCTTCGCAATCTTCCATCTGATGGAAGAGTTATCGACGCAGACGAAGCGCCACTAATGCAGATGGCCTCAAAGGGTAACGGGTACCCAGAAACGTACCTCGCGCTAAGGAGAAAGCAAAATCGGTCAGTACATATTGAGCGCTTCATTCGTTTTCTCATAATTTTCTGTTATTTTCTTCGCTTCTTCTTTATTTTAATTCTTTCTCTTTCCTTCTTGTGTCAATAGCACATACATGAAAGGGAGGTGGTGTAGTGGCGAGTGCCTGGCTTACCCATGCGCGCAATACAGGGCTGAAATCCTGTATCGGCCCTTGTCTACCCCAGCATCCTGTATCCCAAAGGCGATCACCTGTTTTCTTCTTTGGATCATGAATTTGCTATAAGGACTATGTGCCAAGGTGTCAGATTTGCCACTGCGAGCCACCGTAGTTTTGATTTTTTTTTTGCTTGAGTTGTCGTGCAGAGTTCTGAAGAAAGTCCCGGCATCGATCGTGGTCTCGGAAGGTTGCTGAGAATCCAGGGAGAGTCCAGGGAGGGTAAGTCGCTCTCAGTCGCCATAAAATCGCTCGACGTATCCAGTCCATGTGATTTTTGATTCCTAAAGGGCACGTCGTATAGGGCACGTCACACGATGGGGATCCCCAGCAAGGTGGAAGATAGATTTTTGAGTTTTCGAAAGGGTTTTTGGGAACAAGCTGGTAGAAGTTGGGAAAATTTAAGATGTATGTGTGTGAATGCGAGGGCAAAGGTTTTTTTTCATTCTGGGGAAGAAGTTCATACGAAGAGGAAATTTCAGAGGTATTTTATTTACCAAATTTTTCTCTGTTGATAGATGTAGCAGGTTCTATGATTTTTGCGACCTTCGGCGAAAACCGATCTCCGCTATACCTTTTCCTGCTCGCAGCTGTATCGGAGATTCGTAGCGCTTACGCCCTAGCGACATCTTTCCTACAGTGCGTTTGGACAGTTGCATAATCTAGGCGTTCAAGCGTCTAACTTGTACAGGAAATTTGGCGTATTTGCTACCGAAAATTGTCTTACTTAGCAGTCGGACTTCATAAGTCGAATGGATATGAATCCCGGGCTCTGTCTTCGCTCTTCACTTGGTTAATCATCGTTCGAGTCCACGTAATAACACAGCCCCTCTCACAGAAGTGTTTAAAATATCCGGAGCGTTTCGTGGGCTCCAAGTTCACTTATTGCCCAAATTGCTTTGGTCTGTCACGAATAACCGAAGAAGCCTTATCGGTCAGCTTAGCAAAATTCCACCGTCCTTTCATTTGCTATTCAAAAGAGGCCGCCCGTAGTGTATATTCGAACTGTTACCATCAAAGACTATATTTCTCGCTTTCCCTGGAATTTTGCCCATGAGAAGCACTTACCAGCGCTTGCAGCATTTTCTTTCGCGGAAGTTCTATACGGGCCCGCCTACTATTTTTTTTTAGGCCTAACGAATAGACCTCTGTAGTAAATCTTTAGGGGCTTCTCAGTTCAATTTGTCAGGTCAGATCTGAAAAGTCTTTGCTTATGTAACTGACACGGAGCCTACCTGTACTCTTCTTTGAGTAACATTGTCAGTTATCTTTTCCTATTATGGCTCCACATTGTTCGAGATGAGATGTGATTCGTTTAGGTGAGCGTCTAGGCGCACAATTGGTTTGGTGATAGCCTAACCTTCTGTAGCGACCCCCTCTCCCCCCGCTTTTTGTTGGAAGTTGCTACGACCTCCTCTCTCCCCACCCTCTTCTTGTCCTTCTCATCGGGAGATCGATGCCGTCGAGGCGGGGAAGGGGGGGGGAGGAGGCCATCATAGCACGCATTGAAACACGGAAAATCACTAAAAAGTCAACCACCCTCCACTCATCATGCGCAAAACAAAATACCGACCCCCCTCCCAATAATGACCAAGTACGACCCTCCTCCTTTACAACGTCCGTGAAGCGAGAAAAATCAACTATCGAATAAATTTTTCCCAGCCCAAATACGAACCCTTCGCCTTGGCGCTAAATAACGACCCCCCCCTCGCTCGCCTGTAGAAGCGGGTATTCCCCAAACAAGGATGTTCCCTGGTGAGGTTAAATGTTTTATTTTTCATGCACGAGGTGCTCGAGCCGTCATTCAAGATCACGTGAATAGTGTATCAGAACCAGTGAGTGCTATGACTTCGTCGTCAAAAGAACCGTCGTTGCACTTTCTCGCTCCTGGTGAGTTTTTATCTGGAAAGGCCTTATGCTTCTTTTGTTTCGCTCACTGTGCGAGCATAAATCAATTGTTTTCTCTACTGAAAAAGTGAAAAAATAATCTTCTGAACGACTTCTGGATACGCATGCTTTTTGCATTTTCTGAATATTGAATTGAGGGGGGGGGGGGGGGGGGGGGGGGGGGGGGGGGGGGGGGGGGGGGGGCGGGTTTCTTTTTAAGCTTGTTAGCACTTGTTGTGCCGCTTTGACAAGACTTGAAACTCATCAATTCCCTCTAGGCCACAGGAAAAAAGTTTTGTGAAAAGCTGGCCGAAGCAATCAATCACAGCCTGATTTTATAGTTAAAATATTAGCTGGGTGAGCGCAGTTACTTGAGATGCCACATGACTGGCCTAATGGACTTAAGTTTCACCAACAGGGTACACCTCATTGGGGAAGTTCTGGGAGTGTCCTGCTCACAGTCGGGTCTCTTAAAAACGGTTGCTGAATGGTGCAGGTTCATGGTGAGACGCTACAAAAATGTGGTCGCAACTTCCGCTGCGGCGCTCCATGGAGCCTCAGAGAAGGGCAAAGGCTGGATGATTTGAATCCCCTAGGTGGGAGCTTTGCGTTCCATGCGATTTTTCTCCTGAAAGAACACCCGCGATCTTTTGCGCCGAAGCGAAGACTTTTAGTCGCCCGAGTTCTCGGGTAAAACTCTAGAAAGGTTTTTTTTTTGTTTTTTTTTCTAGTGGCCTCTGTTAGCGCCCAGCGGAAATGACCATCCATGTGACCCGCGTAAGCCTCTAGCGCTTGCAACAAACTTCAGAATGGGCTTCCACTGACACGCTGCTAAAGTCTCACTCGTGAAGAAATGGTGGCATATAGGTGGTTTGCCAGTTCCATTCTTTGCACCCGCTAAACCAAAGTACGTCAGACCTCCTCAGTGCGACCCCGCCAACATTCCCTTTCTGGTGCGATCCAGTCCCCTCAAAACGCGAACCGCGTGGGGGAAAAAATCCACGAAAAAGACTGAGGGGGGGGGGGAAATGAAAAAAAACAAAAGAGAAGAAGAAAGAAGATAAAGGAGGAAGCACAGTCAACGTAAAGGTCTACAGGAAGCCTAAACCACACCTGAGGAACAAAGTTCCGCCGTGCTCAGCAATGCTCCCATCGGTGGACGCTTAGCACATTTTGGTTCACGTGACACAATGCGCAGTCAAGCGTTTTTCTGTGCGGCAACCCAGGCATTCCCCATGTAGTGACAGTATGTCAAACTAACGTTTTATTCAAACTAAGCAAGTCCACATATCTCACGCAGTTTTTCTCCGGGGGGGCCATCAAATGGTTCTCAGCGAAGCCTGTACAGGTTTTTACACATCACACAGAGAGGGTACATCTGCTTTACAAACCAAAAGAAGTTCACCTTGCTAGTCATTCGCAGCTTCAAAAGGTAAGTCATCACGCTCACACACGAAGGAAGTGGAGAAAGTGTAAAATGTCCCTGCAAAGCCAAACAGCGCCTGTATGTCATATGAAGTTGAAAATCTAATGAGTCACTGATTATCGGCGTAAAAACGATAAATGACGAGAAAATACTTGCAAAGTAAGGTGGTCCACTATGTGTCGCCGTGTCATAATTGTTTTGGTTTTGTGATTCTGAAGAGTAGCCCAACGGATGATTTTAGTATTTGTTCTTTCCTTATGCATCTTTTTATTTTTTATTCGATGTTGCTTCGAACTTTGTTATTTTCTCCTGTTTCTATCAAAACATTTGCTCGTTTTCTCAGTAAAAATACTATTGAGTAAGAGCTCGTCTTCAGATGGTTCTCCGGTGAACCCACCACGTGCTCTGACTTTAAGTGGAGGAGTCACCGAAGTAGGCAGCGATAGAGCGTTGGCCCAATTTTCGGCTCAGAATATTTGCGTGAGTTCTGTTGTTTTCGCAAGCATTTACCGTGGAACCTGTTCTCAAGAGCTTCGTTTTTATTCATTCTATTTAGCTCGATGGTGCAGAAATGCGCGGAAGGCATTGTGTGATCACGTATATGGACGGAATAGTTACAATTACCCCAAGTTCTGCGGATGCGATCATTGAGGTTAGCAGTTGATAGGAACTTTTTTTTTAGCAAAGTAGTATCCGAACGGGCTAAAATGTTGTGTTCAGAAAAATTCAGTACGTTGAAATGTAATAGTGTTAAAAACTGCGAGCACGATTACTGGATGCGCGCGGTTGTTGCCAGCGCCGAAGGGCAGCGAAGGGGTGTTTGGCTACATCCCACTCAGCCCGTCCATCAGTGACGTTGGGGACAACCACCTCCCGACCCTGTCGTCCTCAGTAATCGTGCTCACTGCTTTTGAGTTATAATCAGTTCTCTGAACGAGATCATGAATATCATTCTTTGTGCATCCGAATGATATTAGCGAAGGGTTGTCGAAAGGAGTACTTTTAGAACAGTTACGATGTGGAAACTGTCGTGCTTCGGCCTGGGGACACAACTCGTAATTGCCAGTCGTGAGCCTTGGAGGGCAAGGATGGTTTCCTAGATACTGGTTCAGTTACAAGTAATGAAAAAGTGGACAGTTTCGTTAGAGACGCCGTGAGGTTGAACTTTGGACGAGTGTCCAAGAAGCGAGACAGTGCTGCGCGGGAGAGAGACCAGAGGCAAACGATGACTGAGCAGAAGGACAAGCTGTAAAACGAGAGAGACCTTAGCTTGATCCCACGTAGAATAAACACGACGCGTTACATCAGTGTCTGTAGATATAGAAGTACCAGCGAATTTCGTCCTTATGTGGGTGGAGATCCCTTTCTGGAAAGCGTTCCCTCAGCTTTTGAGTCGTATAACTTTCCAAAGGGTCTCCACAGCTCGTCGGGCAGATACTGCCCCATTCCTTTTTGAGTACGCAGCACCCGCTGCCAGTGGACTCATTATCTGAGCCTGAAAAGAGATCAGCTCTGGATTGGGAGTGGAGTATCACGGTGCAACGGGGGAGATCTCTAACAGTCCGAGTAAATTCTCAGAGGTACCAGTAAAAAAGACAATTAGTGTCTAGCTGAAGCGTCAACGAACCCAGTTGTGTGCCATTGGGGAATGCTGCTGCTTCCAGCTTCACTGCTTTTCTGGCAAATATTTTCTTGGTAAATCAGTCCTGGTTGGTCCGGGGCGCGTGACAGTCAGCGTGATACACGATCCTTCTCGATACGCCAGGTTCACCTTTAGCAGAGCGAGGAGGCCGAAGTGTTAGTATAGCCTTGCCCAAGAGCAAAAGCGTATGGAGCGCAGCCGTGCTCAGAACACTACCTGGGCGTATTTCTTCGCCCATAGCTTTTTCGAAGTTTCCGGTTATCGCGCCAGTCTGACTTGCATACTTGGGAAACAATTTGCAGCCTGAAATTCGTGAGCCTCGGAGAATTCAAAATTCGCAATTTCCGCATGACGGGCAACCTCGCCGTGGGTGCGTTTTCATGTGTTCGGCGAAAAAGGTGGGCGTATTTTATCGTCCTCGACAACTTTAGCCTGTCTTTCCATGACACTCTACTTTTCAATTTCTGCCCTTGAAAGGACAAATGGATATTCAAACGGGTTTTCTACGTAAAGTCATGGTCGTGCCTCACTTTCGTTACTTTTAGGTGAATAACCGCCGTATTGGGCAAACAGAAATCCTTCGTGATGGAGACCTCCTTCGAATGGGACAGTAGTAATCTGTATTCGGATTCATGTCATTCAATCACAAGGATCACTCTCGTTTATCCGTCTTGGAATAATATCATCTTCTTACTTCATACCTTTCTTCTCTTTTCTTCTCTTGCTTCTCTCCTTCTAATTTCTTTTCTACATTCCGAGGGGCGAATGCTCCTGGTTTTATAGCGTTTCATGAATGAAAATAAGGAATGTGGTCGGAGCTGAAATCTGGCGGTGCGGAGTTAGTGGCCTTAGTTTCAGCCTTTCAAACCCCTCGAGGAGTGACGCTAAAACGAAAAAATGTTCGCGTTCCCAATTGCGTCACAGGTTGACGTGACTGTTCAGGCTTTTTGTTATGGTCCTTCAGCGAAATGAGAGAGCGCAGACAAATAAAGGGCAACTTCTGCCAGACCAAGCGCAGACAAATAATGGGCAACTTCTGCCAGACCAAGCAGTGCGAAGAAGTATCTGGCAAGCTTGAGGATGGTGTTCTGGAGGAGGTTCTGGTGCTTTTGAGCCCCTTTTTTCGTACGTGAAACATAGGAGTTTGCCAGTTCAGAGCGATTATGAAACACCACACAGAGAAGAAGGCGAGTGAAAGCAGAAAATTGATGCGGCCGCGGCTCGATAAATGGGTCCAAGCGGTCCATAGACCAAAGATAAAGCATTGACAGTTTTTTCTTTCGAACTTTTCAAATTCCTCTGATACCTTGGCGACCATAAGAATAGGGTAGTGCTGTCTCGTTCGTCGCTGCTTTTTACTTTTTGACAGTCAGAGCAGTGCTCATACTTTCCAAGGAATTGAAATTGGCTTGCGCTCGTTTTTGGTATTGCTTAATCATCCCTAATTCATCAACAACTGTTGGTTTTCCAGTTTTTGAAATCTCATTCCTTCTGTATATTGGAGTGCTGGTTCCGGGCCACCTTTAGAAAATTATTACGCGATTGCAAGCTGTGGGTCGCACCTGGCGCTCCGAAGGTTACCACAAGACTGCTGAGTTATAGGCAGAAGTCTTGTGTCTGGGGAGCTCTATTCCGCACCTCAGGTTCCCGTGCCGGTAAGCATGAGGTGCGGGCTAGGGTCCTACTTGGTCTTGAGATTTTTGCCCATAACTGAGCATCCTTGTAATAGCTTCAAAGGAAGGGCCGGTTGGTTTTCAGCACTGGACGAGCATGCGGTGAATAGTGGCGAGAGACCAGATTAGTGCGAGAAGGGCCACATATCCGAACAGAAACATGGGCTAGAAAAGGATCACTTTGCCACACAATAGTACTCGGATGTTTATGGAATCTAAAACTGCTACTTGTGGGGTTGGCCAACCCACTAGCGCCCCTAAGCGTGCTTATCCGAGTTTCACGATCTATAGGGTTAAGTAACTGCGCTCTTTATACAGTTGAAGGTAAACCCCGCGATTGTATATCAGGGATAGTAGCGTTTAATTACAAACCTGTAGTTGCTAATTGTTCTCCAAGAAAAAAAAGTGGATAAAAAAATCATGGACAGTACCGTTAATAAGGAACCGGCAGCCTCTCTGGACGAATTGTCTGTAATTGTTCGTTTTTGCGCCAGCAAAGCGAAATCCTGCGCTCTGGCTCATTGAAATGCTCAAAAAGTTAAAAAAAAAACGAAAAACACGGTGCACAAACTGAACGCGTGACAGAAATCAGCCTTCGAGTCTCGATAGGCGAGACAACTAGGAAGGTGTCAGAACTCCCTTTAATGGGCCACAGCGCCTTCGTTACTAAGTGTGAAGCTGCGAAAGTGGGAGGTAATTTACTTTATCAGATTACTTGTACAAGGAAGGGCGCCGAGGATGCTTGAGCGCGTGGCCTGCCTTTGAACAATGCCACCTCTCCGCTAATCGCATAATGTCCTTCGAGCCAGGGAGGTGGTTCTACCGCGAGAAAATCGCATGCCTTTAATCCTCAAATATTTCTGTCGAAGCTACGGGCTCTATACTCTTGGATTTCAATGTCAGTGGGACAGAAATATCAGGTATGGAAGGAAATGAGCCACAGTACAATGGGTTTCAGGGATTTAAAATCAAATCTGGTGTTTTTTGGTCTGAAAAGAAGTGCGCATATGGGTCAGCTTTGATGGGGACTAGAAACCCCATTAGATTCACTGTGATAATTTTTTGATTTTCTCGGAAAATTGCTTCCACTAATTCCTGAGAATCTAACGGTAGGATTTTCTCTCATTGTAGTTTTCTCTCGGTCCCAGTATGCTCATTTTTGAAGCATATGTGGTTTATAGCTGCCTGATCCTTAGTTCTTGGAAATCGTAGACCCTGCTCAGGACGAGTTTCCCCGATTCCGTTTTTGTGACGCTCGCACCTCAACGTTGTTGATTTTTCGATGCGTCGTACCGACTTTTTGATGTGGGAATTTCTCAGCTTCACTTTCGCAGAGAATGTTTTGCGGCTGTTTAGCGTAGAGCTTAGGCGTATAAGCTGACGTGGGCTCTTTCGAGACGGCAGTGACCCTCGCAAGTGGCTCTTCACATTCTCGTGTCCTTTCTCACTCAAATGTTTACGTAGTGCGGAACTCGGTGCATATGCTGTTTGTTCCTGCTCGACGACCTTAGTCGTACCACTGATCTCAAGAGTACCGATCCTTCGCGGTTTTTATTCGGAGGGGTTTTCACTGCGCTCTGTGAAAGGAAGATTCTAATTGGGCCTAACGGTCTCGGATACCTCCGTTTTATAATTACCAGACAGAAAGTCACAGCCAGACTGTGGTGGGAGACTCCCAGCGCACGCGGTCAATCTGAAAGGTCTGAGGGGTTTTCAAGAGTTGTGAGGTTCTCCAGGTGAGTACCAATGGAGAAATGAAAGCGGGTGAAAGTAGTATAAGGGGAGGGAGATGTGGGAGGGGATCTCCCGATCGACCGAAAGTCAACTGAAAGTAAAAAATGTAATGTTGTAAACTTGTAAATTTGTTGGGGCATATACGGGGGGGGCAAAAAAGACACTTTTCTTCCTTGACTTTCGAGGCGCTATAAGTTACACTTTATTAAATTCTGATCGGACATTTCTACCACCATATTAAAGAGCATATTAAATACTATCATGATACTCCGCCACAGCCTTCTGGAGGAGCGCCATCGAGAGATTCTGCCACGCGACCGTGAGTGGGTGCCTGAGTTCAGCGAGATCGTTGATTTCTCCGCCACTGTAGACCACCCTATTGAACTCCGCCCGAACCAGGTAATTGAGGGGGTTTAGGTCAGGTGACCTGCTTAGATATTCCATCTTCTTCAGGTACTCAACGCCCTTCCATTCCAAGTAGGCGAGAGTTTTTCCAACGCCCTTCGATTCCATGTGGTGTCACCCAATCCTGTAGCAGTACAAAGTTTCCAAGAAGGTACGGGCGACGACATGTGAGGAGGATATTCTTCTCGAGTTGCTCGATGTAACCGCCAG